GAAATGATGCTGTTAAAACAGCAGTTGAGAGCTCAGAAGCTCGCGATCACCGCTGCAATCTCGCTAAAGAACCACCAGCACTGGGAGAGTCTTCCAGAAGAACACCGACACACTCGCTCGTTGAAAACTTCAACACTCTTCAGAGACATCGACACCGATAGGCTCCGAAGCGAAAGACAACTGGTGCGTGCATCCAGAGGCAAATCTCGCACACCAATGTGCATTGGCTCATTTTAACAGTACTCGAAGATGACAGGCTCCCTAAGCGTCATCCCATTCAGTCGACATCAACTACGTTGAAAGTGAACGACTGAAAGGAAACCATAATGATGACAGATTCTTTGTCTGTGCTTTTACAGCATGAATGCGCACATATACAGCCCACGAGGGTGACCATTTGCGCTGAAGGCAGCAGTGTGTGCGCCTGTAGCAACAGACTGCGAACGGCTAAACAACATAGTTAAACACCACTAGCAGGGGCGTAAACAACTGTCATAATAGTCACATGACCTTTTTGACAACACCCACAAAGTCAGTTCGCGTTGTAGATTTAATCCTCATGCAAGGCAACATCACGATATGAGTGAGGAGACATTTAATCACAGAACTGACCAGAGTGCCCAGCACGAATCGGCCATGTAGAAGGGGCCGTCCAAGTACTGTACAGTCGCCGTCCAAGTACTCTTGCAAAAGACAAGGCCACTGATAGGGGCTGTCTGACCAAAAACAGATATATTTCAGGCACATTGATATAATCCAGTCCCTTGGCCAACTCTGTGTGAGGGTCTGTCCCGATGTGTCCACTTGAAAGCATGTTCAATAAACATCTCCGACTTAGTGCACTGCACAGCGGAATGAACCTGACACACAGGCTTTAACTGTTCCTGACGCCCGCAGCAAGCAGGGACGTGAGAAGAGACATTAGAGGGCTGGTAGTCTCGCTATCTTCATCATGTCAGTGAGAGCATAGCAAAATACTCTGCCAACAAGGCCCAGTTCTACTTATCTGGGAAGCAGAAGATGAGATGGATTAATACACTCTCTGAATGAACTATGATCAGTCGATCACCCAGAATGCGCGCTCCACTCATGTAGAGGGGAGATAACCGCACTCAACATTCATGAATGTACACATTGTTCGTTAATTTGATGGGCGTTCATTCGGGCGTTCAAACCAGCTCTTACGATAGCTACAGCCGTAGCACCAACAATGGAAAACAGAAGACTGTGTTGTGAATGCATCAGCTACATATTCAGTAGCTAATAGTGCAAGCAGTGGTACTGCACATCGGTCTATACCTAGTTGAAACACACGCCGGAGAGGGGCATGGCCACGAAGCCTTTCACACACTCCAGTGCTTACTCAGCCGTCTTCCTCTGCACAGCCAGAACATGCGGTGTAAAAGAGGGTCTTACAGCTGTCACGCCGCACAACAGAACAGTAATTGCTCAAAGGCAACTAGGTTCTGAATACAAAAGGCGGCCTTACGGCCACGATCGTTCTCTGGATTCGTAGCTGGCTCAGGCTCTATGCAAGGGGCTGAGGCATGGCTAGATAACAGTCACGTAGAGCGAGCGCAGAGATACATAGCGTTGGGAACAGCAGTATAGTCAGTGCATCATGAGGGCTATGGCCGGCGTCAGTGCCAGGGTGTACAGTGAAGGCGACAACATAGAAGGCGAGAATAGCGTAGCACCAGCGTAAGTAGCGGTATAGCATAGCATAGTCACTTCAGTATTGCGTCAGCTTGACGCTGCGGGAACAAAATCAATCCCGCCGTGCGAGAGGTGAAGATCAGACCGAAGATACCGGGCCAGGGCTACACCAATCACAGAGTAGAACAACAGCCAACAGCGTCGTTCCTGTAGGAGTGCTCTCAGCTGATAGGCAGGGCCAGACCAATGAGTTGCTCAGCTCAAGTACACACGAATTTGCATATCAGCTAGAACAGGGTTTCTCAACCTTTTGCCTACTGCGACCCACTTTTCTTTTGTATGCCAGTCATATGACCCACTAAATAAATCAATAACTGAAATTCCTCTTCAGATCTAGGCACCGTAGGCCTATATGCTTATTATAATTAATGATAATCATGAAAACACACAAACATTTTCAATAATTAGGCAGATGAGGCAAACTGATTTTTTTACTCACGTTAATGTGACAGCCTTGAGATCATATCCAGACGCGGTGGAATTTGGAAAAGTGTGACTCGTAGTGTCGCACACAAATAACTGTTGTCAGCCTATTCCTGCTTTTTGTTTTCGTTGCAGTCACTGTTGAAAATCCCGACTCACAAAGATAGTAGGCTAGTGCTAAATGGGAAGAGAAACTTCGTTGCACAATCTGCGAGTTGGTTTGAATCCAATGAATGAAAATAGCCTACGATTCGTTGGAGGATCGGCTACGTTTACATGCACAACTTTTGTTTCAATCGGACTGAATTCATTCCGATTGATGAATCTGAATAGTGTTTACATGAACGCTAAACGTGATCGGGTTAATGTGCGCGTTTGTCACAAGATTCAGATCGAATTATATTTTTTTGACATGCGCACACTGCACGAATATACCTGAGTTTCCCGCTGTTTGCGCATACTAACTATTCTCTTACATTGGTTCTTTATTTGTTTTAAACAGCAGACTTAATATTTATCCATTGCTGGTCATAATTTGGAGACAATGAGCATGAACCGTTGTGCCGTGCTGCTTATTTATCACGCAGTAAAAATGCCCAGCACCCAAAACCAGTCGTCTGTGAATGAGAGTCTGAAACAAGGACTGGTGGGACGTTGTCCTGCTCCACTTCACAGACGCTGAGTGAAAGGAGAATTTTAGAATGATGGTACGCTCATTTATACGACACTTTACTCAAAAGGAAGAACAGCTCGTTCAGCGCGTCATACATCATTATGCTATGCGCAGTCCTTTAGTTTCGGTTTTCAATCCGATCAAGTGTTTATGTCCTCCCAGTTGGATTAGAAAATGAATAAACCACCTCTTTCAATCGAATTGAAATTTTATTCGGATCGAGCTCAATCGGATCGATTAAGGTGTTTACATGAAGGCTTTTTAGTCCGATTGAACCGTCAATGCGTTTACTAACGGATTATTTGGGTTTGGTTGCATGTAAACGTAGCCTGTTGCAATGAGCCTTTTGTGAAGCCCACTTATTGGCTGTGCCGGTTAACACAGAGAAAGTCTCGCGACCCTCTATAGAACGAACAACGACCCACTGGTTGAGAAACACTGAGCTAGAATATCAGGCTGCACTGAATACAGGGCAGCATAACAGCAGTAATCACATATCCGTATGTACATAAGCACAGCATCAACAGCCGTTGCAGCAACAACTGTGAACAGACACAGTCAGATCAGAATAGCAAGTTGCACTGAATAATACAGGGCAACATAACAGCAGTAATCACATATCAGTATGCAGACTATGCACATAAACACAGCGTCAGCAGCCGTAGCAACAACAACTGTGAGCAACTGTGAACTGTGCGCGTCGTGGGCAACGGGGAAATCATGATTCTGGCTGGCTCTGAGGAAGGGCAAGCAACGCACTATTGTCCTTTTGAAGGATTCTTGACATTTCTTTTGTTCAGACGGACTCGCGCAGTGCTGCTCCTGAAGGGCATCGGCCAGGCAGAAGCGCCGCCGCTAGCTTCAGTAGATTCGAAGAAGGAGGGATAACCCCATAGCGCCACCTAACGGTGACACAGTGTCGAGAGACCGGCTCGAAAGGGAACTGCAGTGAACCAAAGACAGTCTCAACAACGCGATTTGAAATCGCTGGTGTTTCTGACGTCACAAACTACCTTGTAACCAATCACATCACCGTGTGATCGTCAACTAGTGGATATCTAAGCTGGTGTGAGTCACTGGAAACAGGGCTCCTTTGCATATTCATAGAACCGCGTATACTAAATGAGGCAGGGGTGTAGAGTTACATTCAAGCTATTTTAAGGTATGACAAAAAAAAATTTGTGGAAAAAACTTTTAAATATGTAATTTTGGTGATCAAAGGTTAGTTTTAAAGGTGCAGTAGGACATCTGGGAAAATGCTGACTTTAGCCTGATAGCACTAAAAGCGTAAGTCCCACCCTCCCTGCAAATCGCCGTCCAAAGCCATGCCTCCTGAAAGCATGACCGCTGCACAGCCCAGAAGACCAGAGACAACGTTACTGCAATACATTATGTATTATTCACCGGTGAGAAAACTTTATAATACAGTTAGTAACAATACTACAATACCAAACATAAACACATTTTTAAAAACGGAATTAGATGCAGTAAGTTTTGTACATGGCCCGACAGGGAACACATGCTATAGGACCGTTCGGACTGAATGCAACGTTTGAACGAACATTCAATGGCCCTACGCCTTACACAGACGACATATAATTATAAAAAAATACATTTAGACCGCTTACCATACTGATTGCTATGATATGAGGAGACTTTCAACCAGCATAACAAAAAATGTTTCTGCAGAGAATCACCTACAGAGAAACTTTAAGGGATACATTTTACAGTCCAGGCCTCCTAATTTATTATACAAAAAATTACATTCATCATCATTACATACACTACCATTTAAAATTTTGGGGTCAGTGAGATATTTTCTTTTAAATAATAAACACTTTTATTCAGCAAGAATGCATTAAATTGATCAAAATTGACAGTAAAGACATTTAAAATGTTACAAAATATTTCTGTTTTTAACATTGATGATAGTAAGAAATGTTTCTTGAGCAGCAAATCGGCTGAAAGATCATGTGACACTGAAGACTGGAGTAATGGATGTTGCAAATTTCGCTTTATCATCACAGAAATAAATTAAATTTTAAAATATATGAAAATAGAAAATAGTTATTTTAAATTGTAATAATGTGTCACAGTATTTTGTAATCAAATAATTGCAGGGTTGATGAGCATAAGAGACTTTCAAAACATTACAAAAGCTTACCAATCCCCTGTGTGTTTGTTTTAGGTACAAAAGTGTTTGAGAATGAAAGGGGTGTGCAGAAGCTGGACCTGACAGGAAAGAGTCGTGTGCAGTTACGAGCAGGGTCAGAGATCAACCTCGTGAGCGTGGGGACCAAGCCAGCTAAACGGAATTCCTTCAGACGGTCCCTTGCTTTCTGCACTGAACGAGCACAGGTAACAACTGTCCTTTACAATAAAAGCACTGTAGCAATACCATGATACAGTGATGATATCAGATTATAATACCATGGAACTTTGATATATTATATCACGGTACTGGATGATTACCATATTCATGCATCATGGTATTTGGTACTCCAAGACATTTTAAGGAAATCCATACTTACAAGAACTGTACGGTATTACTGTGTAATTTACCAGTAATTACCAGTAATACCATGTTTTTTTGTTGTTGTTGTTTTTTTACATATACCATGACAGTACCTTGTTATTCTTGGAATACCATGTAAATTCAATATAAAAAATATATATATATATATATATATAAAAAAAATATATATATATATATCAGTGTTATTTTGTACCATTGAGATACTATTATAGTTTTTATTATTATTATTATTATTATTATTTTTTAATTGGTTTTTAGTTTTAAATGTTCCATTTTAATTTTACTTAAAATGTATGTAATTTTGTTTTGTTTTTTTTGTCATTTTTGACATTTTCAACATTTCTATGTAGATTTTATTCATTTTTATTTTGGTTTTACTTTTAGTTATTTTTGTACATCAAGTTAAAGTAGATGGAAATGAGAAACTTTTTTAAATATTTATTTTATTTCCATTAACGTTTATTTTATTCAAGTAACAAAAAAAGGTTTTTGTTTTAGTTAACTAAATCCTTGTATTTGCATTTGCATCTGACGACATCATCTGACGACATTATCGCGGGTGCTGCCACAGTACCCTTTTGCACCATGGTAATGTCAGGAAAAACACAGTAATCTTAATACATGCCCAGAAAACATGATAATACCATAGTATTATTTGTAAGGTCTGATAGGAGCCTTTTAAAGTGGCATTGGGTCTGGCTAGAATGACTGAACTGCTGAAGTTGAAGTGCTACACTGCCACCTGTATTTTGGATTGTGTAACTGCAACACTTTGCAAGAAGTTAATTTTGATTTGTAAGATCAAAAACATGAGACTAAGATGAGGACGTTTAATTTTGGGCCATTTTCAGGTGTTTTTTGATGTCATTTTTTTTTCTGGCTAGTCTTGTTTGGTGCTCTGTTTGTCAGTTGTCGCTGCTGTTGTGAGTTCAGTAATTACAGTGGGTTGGATTGGGAGCCACTTCCTCCCAGAGGAGCAGAGAATAACGCACAGATAAGAGCTGTTTTAACCATTACACCCTACTTTATCAAACAATGATGAGTGGTTCCTCAATGGAGGAGTCTGCTGACTTTTAAATGTTTTTAGATGCAGCTATGACTCTTGTTTGAGTCATTTAGGATATTTGACCATTTTACCCTATAAAAGGAAATGTCTTGAACACTCTCCTCTGTTTTTCTATTTCTCTCAAAGGGGGGCTTTCTGACCCCACTCTTGAGGAGAACTGCGTCAGCAAAAAGCACCCTAAAGAAAGCTCCATCTGCCCTGTTTATCGAGCATGGCAGGGTCTTCCAGAGGAGGAAGGTAAGATTCAGCATGAGCACACTGCACAGCCTCCCACATGGATTTGTTGATTGGTTTTGATTTCCCGATGACTCAGTAGATGAACTGACAACTAACACCAGCCTCTCACTTTAAAGAATTTTGACCTTCATTATATGGACAAAAACATTCTGCTAAATATATTTTGTGTTCCACGCAAGAGTCATAAATTACATGATCAAGACCAACACATAATTCTCCTCAGAAAAGGAGGTTATTATTGTTATCTAAAAAAAATGTTTGTTAATTGAAGTTTAATAAATAACAACTAAAACTGAAATAAAAATAAATGAAACCTAAACAGTAATATTAAAAAATGTCTTTCAAATTGATTAATCGCATCTAACATACGTGTGTGTGTGTATGTACTGTATGTATGTATGTATACACACACACACATATACAGTATATATATATATATATATATATATACACCGGTACACACATACACAAACAAATATATTATATATTTACAAACTTTTGTTAGATGCGATTTATCGCGATTAATCCATTTGGCAGGACAAAAAAAACCTAAGAACAATGACAAAAGCACAACACAACAAAATTACTAAAAATTTACTAAAATTAATATTACCGAAAATAAAAAATAAAAGCTAATTCAAAATATTTACAAAAACTATTATAGTATATACATAATAGTAAAATAACACTGCTATGACCCTTAACCTCTTTTTGTTTGTTTTTGTAGGAGTGGGAAACCAAAGCTTCAGGTTGACATGAAGAGAAGACTCTCCCACATTCCCCTCATATTGTCAGTATATTATTGCACTGAAAATAATATTCTTTCCAAGCATGTGGATCATGCAGTGGTTTGGATTTTTAAAGTTCTTTGTTATTTTTTGGGGTCCTTGGTACTGTTAGGAAAATAACCAAAATCAAACAAACTCTTTAGCTCCAGATTCTGTTCATATACAAACTTTCATCTTCACATCAATAGGGAGCAACTACAAAATATTTTTTACATTTCTAGTAAATGTTTGTTGAGATGATGCTGATGTACTTTTCTTTAGACATGTAAGATAACTTTGACACCAACATTTCAGGTAGAATAACTATGTGTATAGAATGGCACATTTAAATAAAGTGGATTTTTACGTTTATCATCATAGCACAATATTTATCCTTATGTAAATCACTTTGCACTTGAACTCAACCTAAACTGTGTTTGCAGTTTTCAGGAAGGCATTGTCGTGGTCAAAATCAGGAATCGTCAGTGTGAAGATCAAACACAATATGATTATAGCTAAATGATTATTGATTATTGAAGAGTAATTACCTCTTTATTTTTTATTTTTTACAAGACTCACAAATCTGTGGTAATTTATCGACATTTGTACAGTTTATATCAGTGCACACGCAGTGTATTATGTGTTGAGCTTTTTTTAATAATGTACCATAACCACGTTTTTTTATCCATGTTTTTATGAAGCATTGATTTGTCATTACAGCTGAAGAGATTTTGCTGGTATTGATCCCACTTTAGGGAAGGTTTTTCTGTATAGTTTGGTAACTTGTTTATGATAGAATGGCCTAATGTTGCTGTACAAATGATAACTGTGGAGAACAAAAACACCACTAATGAGCATAGTATTTGTACAATAAATAAAGCAATGCTGGATAAAGCATAATTTCTTCACTTGTCCTTGTCCTTCTTTTTTGTCTGCTTGTTTTCTCGAGATACAGTCAAGTAAATTTGATGTAAAATGGTATGACATTGTATTATGTATGGTTGCCATAATGTGGCAAAAAAAGTGACACTTGTGCGTTCTGATGATTTCATTCAAGGTTAATGTAACAGTGAGGACCTTTTTTCTGTGAAAGAAGTAATCCAAACTAAATACAAGTTAAAAACAGGTGACCATTTAATAAAAAAAGAAATAAAAAAAAGAAATTATTTTCTAGAGATAGTCTTAACATATTAAATGCAACTAGTTAAACTTTTATTTGACACATCTTTATATCTTTTATTGTTTTTGAAATAATGTTTGCTGTATGTACTGACAAGCCTTAAAGGATTAGTTCACTTTAAAAAAAAACTTTTGCTGATAATTTACTCACCCCCATGTCATCCAAGATGTCCATGTCTTTCTTTCTTCAGTCGAAAAGAAATTAAGGTTTTTGATGAAAACATTCCAGGATTTTTCTCCATATAATGCACTTTGCTGGGCACCAAACGGTTCAAGGTCCAAAAGACAGTTTCAGTGCAAACTGCAAACTGTTCAAATGGCTTTAAACGACACCAGACGATGAATAAGGGTCTTATCAAGCGAAACGATCGCTCATTTAAAAAAGAAATCACAAAGTTTAAGTTTTATAAGCTCAAACGCTCGCCTTGCTCTGTTCTGTGTGACTCTCCTGTTCGAACTCGTTCATCAAAATGAACGAATCTTTTTCCGAGTCAATTCGTTAATTTCGTTCGTTAAATGAACCAAATGACTCGAAAAAAGATTTGTTCATTTTGATGAACGAGTTCGAACAGGAGAGTCACGAACGTGCATCACAGAACAGAGCAAGGCGAGCATTTGACATTATTAAACTTAAACTTTGTTATTTATTTTTGAAATGACCGATCGTTTTGCTTGATAAGACCATTATTCATCGTCTGGAATCGTTTAAAGCCCTTTGAACAGTTTGCAGTTTGCACTGAAACTGTCTTTTGGACCTTGAACCGTTTGGTGCCCAGCAAAGTGCATTATATGGAGAAAAATCCTGGAATGTTTTCATCAAAAACCTTAATTTCTTTTCGACTGAAGAAAGAAAGACATGGACATCTTGGATGACATGGGGGTGAGTAAATTATCAGCAAAAGTTTTTTTAAAAGTGAACTAATCCTTTAATGTAAACTAAAATATAATCTAATTTCTTATACATCATACTTTTAATTTCTTACATTTTTCTTTAATTACTTCAACTTTAAATTTAATATTGAATAACACATCACAGTTAATTTCATAATCAAGTGGGCTACTTAACATCTGCTTTAGTATGTTAGTAAACATGTCAAAATTATTGTACTTATATGCATGAAAAAAGATTATTAAAACTTAATTTAAAATGTACTTTAAAGAATTATTACAAAGTCCACATTTTAAAAGTGTACATAAGTGTATTGAGAAACATAGTCATGAAAGTTTAGTCTTTTAAATGACTTTTTCTTTCAAAAAAAAAATCTCCTTTTTTTTCTTCAGTAATATTATTTTATCTACAAGTAAAGTTTTTTTAAATAATACATTTTTAAATAACTTATTATTTATTCGTGAAATTTCTTTAAAACCCTTGTGGAATTAGAATTAAGGCAGGAGTCAGGACAGTGGCCCTCCAGGACCGAGTTTGTTGACCCCTGGATTAAGCTTTTCAAATATCAGTGTTGTTTATAAAAGTTTCTGCAGTGGACTTTTTAATTATATCTAATATGGAGATAAATACAATATAAATTGAAAATTAAAATCGATATGTTTTTAGTAATGACTTTAGTAATTTCTGATTTTTGAGAAAGTTTCAGTCACACTGTGACAGTCATGACAGTGGGGGTCAGTGTTCGCCACTGGAAGCAGATAGTAAAACTCAGCTAAGCAGCCACATAAACAATGTTTACAAACTACACTAGCACTAAATAACGATATAAAAATGACCAAAACGTTATGTAGAATTTAATAAGATCTGCTGGGATCCAGCCATGGACGTGTTTAATAAAGTGACGGCTTTTCTGCAGCAGGCTTTGGAAACAGTAAGTAAACATTGACTTTTGAATATTTTCAAACTAGCCTGTTAGCTTAGCCGAGCTAGTATAGAAAACAAATCTCGAGACACATGTTGCGCGATACTGTAAAACTTTATAAAAGTGTTATAAACGTTTCTGTACATAAACGAAATTTGGTAACGTTAGACTGTCAACGTGTTGTCACGCATTTCAGTGTTTTATATGAAGATATGCATTGTCTTCAGTTTAGCTTGTGTGCTACAGAAGTTGAGTACTGTACAGTGTACACTAATCAATAGATTGCGTTGATTTGCTGTATTTTATTATTTATTAAGTCCATGGATATAAGTAGATATTTATGTGAGTTTTTCTTTGATCGCCATACACTTTTGGGTTTGTCTAAAATGTGTTCACGTGGAAGGTGCAGATATGCACCCGCGGGTCTGGACAAGTTTCTGACAGGAGAAAAACGTCCTCAGAACCTTAAAAAAAAAGGTTGACAGCATGCATGCATTGCATATACATAAGTACATCATATTTGAAGACGTAAGCCACATTTAAAATGCATTGGTATCGGCATTATAATAAAATATCAAACCAAGTGGCATAACTTTAACAAATTTGGGGGATTTTGAAATTGTTCAAAAGTGACAGTAAATACATTTATAATGTTACAAAATATTTATATTTCAAATAAATACTGTTCTTTTGAACTTTCTATTTATCAAAGAATCTTAAAACAAAAACTATCACAGTTTCCACAAAATATTGATCATCAATTGATAATAATGCATAAAATATTGAAACATTGATAATAATATAAAATGTTTCTTGAGCAGCAAATGGAATGATTTTGAAGACTGGAGTGCTGGAAATTCAACTTTGCCATCACAGAAATAAATTACATTTTAAAATGTATTAAAATAGATTTTTCTTTTGGAAATATGAAAAAAATAAATAATAATTGTCAAACATTTGAATGGTAGTTGTATGTAAAATAAAATTATGAATTTGTCCTTGTCCTCTGCTTATTACTATTTAAGACGTTTTTATGTTAAGGATTATGCATTTACAGGAAATCAGTGTTAAATGATCATATACAATTAAAGGGTTAGTTCACCCAAAAATGAAAATTATGTCATTAATGACTCACCCTCATGTCGTTCCAAGCCTGTAAGACCTCCGTTCATCTTCGGAACACAGTTTAAGATATTTTAGATTTAGTCCGAGAGCTTTCTGTCCCTCCATTGAAAATGTATGTACGGTATACTGTCCTTGTCCAGAAAGGAAATAAAGACATCATCAAAGTAGTCCATGTGACATCAGTGGGTTAGTTAGAATTTTTTGAAGCATCGAAAAAACATTTTGGTCCAAAAATAACAAAAACTACGACTTTATTCAGCATTGTATTCTCTTCCGGTTCTGTTGTCAATCCGCGTTCACGAGTCCGCAGTGACGCTGCTGACGTAAGACGCTGCTGACGTGTTATCTGGTGTATATCCGCTGTAAACAAAACAATCTTCGCAAACATGTCTAAGGATTTCGACACAGAGGAAGACTTGCATTTTTTTGCCCAGCCATATTTATTTGAACCCGAATACACAGACACACCAGATAACACGTCAGCAGCGTCTTACGTCATCAGCGTCACTGCGGACTCGTGAACGCAGCTTGACAACAGAACCGGAAGACAATACAATGCTGAATAAAGTAGTAGTTTTTGTTATTTTTGGACCAAAATTTATTTTCGATGCTTCAAAACATTCTAACTAACCCACTGATGTCACATGGACTACTTTGATGATGTCTTTATTTCCTTACTGGACAAGGACAGTATACCGTGTATACATTTTCAATGGAGGGACAGAAAACTCTCGGACTAAATCTAAAATATCTTAAACTGTGTTCCGAAGATGAACAGAGGTCTTACGGGCTTGGAACGACATGAGGGTGAGTCATTAATGACATAATTTTCATTTTTGGGTGAACTAACCCTTTAATGACAGTAATGAAAGTGTAATTGCAGTAATAATACTGTTGATCCTGTTCTGATTCTTATAGAGGGAGCCTTCGATAAACCTGCAGGACTCTTTTGTGGATCACTGGAAAGCAATAACCAACTATTACATTGAAACTTCAGGTAAAACTATAAGTGTAAATCAAATTAAGCAGTAGCTTACTCATGTATTTGAGTGTTTATAACAAACAGTGTTTTAAACTAAAAATTATGCCATGCTTCAATCTTAGATCATTGGAGAAAAAGAGAAAAGAAAAATACATTAAGAGGAAAGGTAAAATAGTTAAACGAAAGTTTCAATTGCATGTTTGTCTCTTGTACATAGATGAGTCTCGTCCGGTGAAGCACACAGACATCCCTTGGAGGCTCAGACAGATGCTGGACATCCTGGTGTATGAGGAGAAACAGCAAGGAGAGGAAACGGGTCCCTGCATGGAGTATCTGCTCCAGCACAAAATACTAGAGACACTTTGCACGCTGGGAAAAGCACAGGTATGAGGACACAGACTCAAGACACAGATTAAAAATATTTAAAGCTGCAAAAAACTGAAATATTGCTTCATTTGTACAGTATCCTCCTGGCATGAGTCAACAAGTGATGCTGTTTTTCTCTAAAGTCCTGAGCCAGATCACGAAACCTGTGCTGCATTTAATCAATGTCTATCGGCCCGTACAGGTAAGTAGGTCAGTAGGAACTGTTATTGTATGGAAAAGAACTGCGACAAGTTTTATAAAACATTGTCCTATAAAAAACATTAAACATAAATGTGGGTTTGGGACAACGAGATAAAAAAAAAAAAAATACAAACTGTTTTTAAATGTTTTCAAAAGAAGTTTTGAAATGCTTACCATAAGAAAAAAAACTATTGTGAAAAAAGTATTATTACTATTATTATTCATATCATAAATAATATTATTATTGAAAAAGATCATTCTAATATGCTGATTGGATGATCAAGAAATATTTCTTATTATCAATATTGAAAAAAACTGCTGAATGATATTTCTGCTGTCAAAAGAACAGCATTTATTTGAAGTAGAAATCTGTCGTAACATTATAAATGACTGACTCCAAACTTTTGAACAGTAGCGGAAGTAAATAATGGCAGAATCTTTTAGGTGGAAGATTGCTTTAGCTTTTATATCATTAAGTGGACATTAAAACAATCAAGAAATGAAAAATAATTAGATTTTTTTTTTTTTTTTTACGTTTTAATTTTGTACACATTTAAGCACCATGATTTTTTTCCATTAAAGCCAGTGTGTTGATTTTTAACATTTGGAGAGCAATACATTCACCACATTTAGGAAATTATTATGAGATGAAGCATCCAATATTTCAATGGAAATTAGGTTGCATTACACTCTCTGATGTGGAAAATAATGTCTAATTTATTCCCTCTTGTCACTCTCTGTTATAGAAACTGATCCATCTGTGTGGACTCCCTGATTCACAGACGGAAAAAGAGGAGTCTCAGTTTCTCCTTGCTGTTTGCACTCGAGTCAAAAAAGACCCTTATGTCCTCAACTATATCCTTGAGGTACTTTCTTCATTATGTCTTCTGACACTAGTGTGTTGACTGTGGTTCAGTTTGAATCTGATTTAGATTGTGAATCTTAAAGCAACACCAAGGAACTTTTCCTCAGCGGTCGCCCTACAGGTTGGAAGCGGAATTGTCCATTACCGCTGTCGTAAATAATTTAGCTTACCGCAGCCTACTGTCGCACGCGCACGCTCGCTGTTTATCCAGCACCGGCTTTGGAATCAACAATGGCATACATCCCAACCTGCAAGAAGTCATTTCAGGGAGGTATATATTGGTGACTGGATTGTTGACGTTGGGGGGGGTTGTGGCGGGTTGACTAGCTTTCGTGAGGCACACTCGCAAGGTCTCTCGCTCTCTCCCTCTCTGTGCTCGCTCCCTCTCTGTGCTCGTATGTTATGCGCGCAGTATGTTCTGTCTCGCATGCGCGCTCTAGATTCCGGCAGATTTGAACTAATTTGCGGGCATCAGGGAGACGCTATAGACTTGGGATGTCTGCAATGGCCATAGACAATTTGAGGAAGTGGTGGGGGAAGTGACGTATGCCGTAAAGCAGTCGAGTTTTGTAGTTCTTTTTGTGCTCGGGTTACTACCCGAAACCCGAAGTTACATAGTGCGAGTAAAAGCGATACAGACCACGTCAGGCTATGGCAGACGTGTCATTTAACCTATTGTAAGTCGATGTACCATCACAAGGGTCTTGGAAATATATTATGAAGGTTGAAAAGTTCCATAGTGTTGCTTTAAAAGTGATAACAAACACCCACATTTCTATCACAAAGATTACCAAAGACTCTCAGAAGAAGTCCAGTTCTCCTTCTGATGAGGCTGTGGAGAAGGGCTCCAGTCCTGAGACCGCTCCCTCCCCACCGTCTCCTACCAGTTCTGCCTCCTCCAGCTCACCTCAGGAAGCCACAGGCATTATCCCTGTACTCATTCACCTGGGGAAAACTGAGGTGATTCATCATGAAAACACAAGACGGATTGGATGTGTAACTAAACCGAATGCATGACTGGGGAGAGGTACCCCAAAGGCTGATTCACACCAAGTTTTAAAGTTAATTTAAAAAAGGCACAATGCATTACAATTACATCCTTATGGTGTAGCTGAATACATTTACTGAAAAAGAAATAAATATTTACATTTCTAGGAGAAGTGTTTTTAACACTTAATAATGAAAGTTTTCCATAAAACTACTCTACTGTTAAAAACTAAAAGCTAGGACTAAAAACTAGGTCTTAGCTTTTAGTTTAAAAATAGGATGAAATAATTTCACAATTGTAATATTAATTTGGTAATGAATACATTGTGTTAAATATTATGTGGACCCCCAGCATTGCATTGTGGTCCCTTGGTTTGTTCAAAAACAAAACAAAAAACTTGCTAAACATAAATTACGTGCTAAATTGCTTCTTTTTTTCTTCTTTTTTTTTTTACAGTTTAAAGCACCATTTTTAACATTTGAACTGCATATTTAGTAGAGTCACCAATTTTTGAGATAAAATTAACCATTCAACATATGATGAAAAATTTGTACACTCAGTAGACCCTCAAAAATAATAATATAGACCCACAATAGACAATAACCAGTACAATTGTTTCCAACATATTTGTAAAAATACAGTTTATGGTTCATTGATGTGTTGAGCATTAAAGCCAATGAATTTAACTTTTTTGTGTAAAATCTAATTGGTAAACTTTTGTGCCATTTATTGGATCAGACTTGGTGTGAACGGGCCATAAAGCTCAGTCAACTTTACATTCAGAATCATTGTTTTCAATGAGACTCCCTTTCATTTTTTTTTCATTTCAAATTAGCTTTATTAGCATGCCAAAGCATCAACATATTATATAAATAATAAAACAAACAAACAAACAAAACATATATGTATAGATCATGTCATATGTGGCATAGAAATAAATAGATAAATAAACACAATCTATCCTAATAAATGAATAAATACAGTGGGTCTCAAGAGAATTAGCTGTCTCTGGCGTTGTGAATAGCTAACACATTTTTAGCCGCTAGTGCAGCTGTACTATCATTTTCTCAGAGTAAGAAGGACATTTTTTCAGTGTCACTCAGTTCAAAGAATGATGGAATCAAGGTTTCAAATCTGGGCAGAAAAGTTTCTCTTATATTAGTATATTTGGAACAGAAGAGCAGAAAGTGTTCCTCGTCCTCTATGTGCTGTAGATCACAGTGTCTACAGATCCTCTGCTCTCTCTCTGTCCATGTTTGTCTATGTCTTCCTCTCTCTATCTCTAGATCATGGTCACTTAATCTGTATTTGGAGAGGATTTGTCTTTCTTTTAAATGTTTAATAAATAGATAACTGGCCAATTTAGTGTTTACCTTTCCCTCTCTCTTAGAAAAGTCATGTTGTGCTCAGATCCATGGAGAGTTTGCTGCTGCTGGTCAGTTTACCACAGGAAGACACTGGACATCTTCTGGCTGAGAGAACTCCACTGTGTCACCTCCTCGCTCAGAGACTGACTGAACTTTACTGCCTCATACCCTCATCGCTCGACCCTGCAGACATCCACAGCTACTCCAGTGTACAGTGGAGGTGTGTGTCTGTTATGAAGTGCTAAATTGTTTATATTTCATTTGTAGCCATGTGTCTTATCTTCTTATTCTAAACATTTATTGAGGATCTGAGGATCTGTTGTTGGTTTTGCAGGACTCAGTTCACACAGGACAGTACAGTGGAGAGCCCGTCGTTTCCTGGCAGTGAGAACGTCCACAGGTTCTTCTGCTTTTTGGACTACTGCAATGAGCTCATCAAAGAAGCACCAAGGGTTTGACAAAATCATTAATTTTGTGTTGACCATGTGTGTATTTTATCTGTACAACTGCATTAGCTTGAAATATGACCTGAATAAAATCATTAGCAATGTTTCCATCCACCTACTGTATTTGTATGCGCATTTCGGGATATCGCAAAAAAAATTGTGGATGGAAATGGCAAGATAAAAAATATGTGTGAAAAAAAAATGCTCAAAAAAAAGTATGCACTCAATTAATACATTTTTTACATTTTTATCCGATAAGAAAACGTGCAGAAACTATGATGGAAACACATTTACCAAATAAATTCCTTGATCCGCATCAAAAAATTCATGTGACCGATGAGTTGACATAACGTGACTAACCAGTGGACTGATCTCATTGCACAGCATCTGAAATGTTGTTTTGGTCATTCTGACATGCCTTAGTCAAAGACTGTCATCAAAATGACTCCGAAAGCAAGATAACATGACCGTGTTTATGGCGTTCCGTTTGTGCTCTGAGGCGCAAGTTATTTATTATATACGAAAAAAGTCTAGGGATGGGCATTTTTGTCAATTTTTCATTTCGATTACTGATAGGTCTCAAAAACGAGTACTCGGGGGTGGGGTTTGTCCATCATGGTGATCATGAAAATATTTTAATTAAAAAACTGTTACTAAAATGAATGTTGATAAAATTATGAAATGAACATTTCTATCAAAATATTAAAATATGACTAGCTACATAAAATAACACTGCTATATTATCAATAATGAATCAATGTTTTAGAAAAAGAAACATCTAAAAGGAGTAGCAGCATGAGGTGAAGCTGAAGAGCGAATGAACACCAGTAAATTGAAGCCTGTTCTATATGACACATCCTAAATGAGATTAATCAGCAATCCTAGATACACAACATAAACGTAACATTACAACTAGAGCCCGACCGATATGGATTTTTGGGGGCCGATGCCGATACCGATATTAGGGAGTAAAAAAAGCCTGATACCGATATATCGGCCGATATTATTTATGTGTATATTATAATACAGTAGCAATATTATTTATGTGTATTATAGTACAGTATACCAGTCAAAAGTTTGGACACTTTCCTATTGGTGTGTACAAACTTTTGATGGGTACTTTACACAGTATAAACAGAATAAATATATTTTATAAACACGTTTTGCAATGATCACCCAAATGTGGTGATCAAACACTTGTGTGACACAGATATGTAATGGAGGCAGGGGGAATGATAGAATGAGAATTATACAGTTGAGCTGTAACCAAACTAGTTTGCATTGCATGTTATATTATATTATATTCTAAATACTGTTGCATAATCTTCACTAACGACTTTGTCTTTTAATTTAGTCATAACTTGTATCAATAAATATATAAAAAGTGTCACTGACAAAACGTCTCAGGTTACGAATGTAACCTCTGTTCCCTGAGAACAGGGAACTCAACAATACGTCATCGACGTTATGGGGAACGCCTCAGGCGTGACAGGTGTCTGAAATCACTATCAAATCACGTCAATCACATTGACCGGCGACAGCCCGTGAATCATTAGCGTGAATGATTAACGTGCGACCTGGAAGTATATAAGGGCGCCTTGCAAACATGACAAATCACCTTATCGTCTGAAGGGACTGTACGGCAGGCAAGCCCCGAGGCATGGCAGGGAGACGTATTGTCTCGTTCCCTGTTCTCAGGGAACAGAGGTTATATTCGTAACCTGAGACGTTCCCTTTCGAAGGGAACTCAACAATACGTCATCGACGTTATGGGGAACGAAATACCCACTCCGCCATGCTGCGGGGAGTGCATGCCCTCAGGCAGTGACAACTGTCCGAACCAGCAAATTCAAATGAAATGCTAGAACCACTCACCCTCAGGTCACACTGGGCTGTCAGTGACAGCATTCCCTACGGTCATAGCCCAAGCTATAAGCCTAGCAGGAAAACCTCCATAAACATGGTTAAATGAAAGGGTCCCTTCTAGGGAATGTGGCTAGGGAACCCGAAGGAACCCCAGCCAGTCACTATTCAGGGGAACGTACTCACCCCGAAGTGCCACCAGGACGGCCTGACCTGGCGTCAGAGCATAGACACTTAGTCTGGCCACTTCCTGTCTGTCCGAAGACAGAGTCTCTGGACACTTGCCTTAAGTAAGGCATCCAACCCGAGGGACTGCGAAGCTGGCAGTGAACCACTCGGCCTGGATCTCAGAGACGGGATATCCCGGAGAGTATGACTCTGCAAGTGCTTTCCAACCCTTACCAGCGAGGGGAGTTTCTCTACTCGATCCATGGATCTACCCAGTGCTTGTGATTCAAACACTGAGGAGGCCTGTGAAGGCCTAAGGGCTGATCTAACTGGGAGGCCTCACGAGAGGCCTACGACCGTCTGACCAGACTCAGGAGTCCGCGTGCTCATAGTGACCCTCTGTGAGGGGAGCACATGGTCCACCTGGTACACTTTAGTCGAGCCAGGGCGCAAGCTCGCCTTCAGCAGCTGCCTGATAAGGCCAGCTGAAAATGATAGCAAGAGGCCACTAGCCTCCTGAACCCAGCACCGCTAGGAAACCACTCACAGGGAGGCCTGGAGAGGCCTACAACCTGATAACCACAGTATGTGGGGACCCTCAGGGAGGCCTGGAGAGGCCTACAACCTGATAACCACAGTATGTGGGGACCCTCAGGGAGGCCTGGTGAGGCCTACTACCTGGCCGTACTCACTCAGGGAGGCCTGGGGGAGCCTACTACCTGATAACCACAACCTGTGGAAACTCATCGTCAGAGAGGCCTGGTGAGGCCTACTACCTGACCGTTCTCATTCAAGGAGGCCTGGAGGAGCCTACTACCTGATAATCACAGCATGTGGGAACTCACCTTCAGGGAGGCCTGGTGAGGCCTACTACCTGACAGCCAAAAAATATTTGGGAGCTCACAATCAGGGAGGCCCAGAAAGACCTACTACCTGATAGCAACAGTATGTGGTCACCTGCAGGGAGGCCTAGAGAGGCCTACTACCCGCTAACTATAGTACGTGGGGAACTCACCCTCAGGGAGGCCTGGTGAGGCCTACTACCTGACAGCCATAATATCTGGGAGCATTTTCTGCTACCCGATAGAAAGTCAGGCTAGCTGTTCAGTTGTCTGTCCTTGGGCTTGTCTCCAGGGAGGCCTGGTGAGGCCTACTACCTGATAGCCAATGTAGGTGGGGATTCGCCTTCAGGGAGGCCAGTTGACGCCTACTACCTGATAACCATCTTAAATGGGAAATCACCTTCAGGGAGGCCTGAGTGGCCTACTACCTGATATTTTCAAATTTATTTATTAGGATAAACCCCTTGAGATGCATCATCTCGTTTTCGAGGGGGTCCTGATAGCAACTGGTAGCTGAGTTCGGGTGACAGTTCCAAGGCGGCCTGTTAAGGCCAACCAGCTGGGGACTCGCCTATCAGGGAGGCCCGGTTGGGCCTACCAGCTAATAGCAAGTCAATTCCTACAAAGGAACACTGTTGGGAACCATACTACACCAACGTAACTATTGGGCCCACCCACAGGAGGCCTAGTACGGCTAGCTACCTGCAGCAGCTATAAAGTATGTCCCACAACGTTGGGACTCACCTCCGAGGAGGCCTGTTTAAGGCCTACTACCCACCGGTGAGTCAACTGCCCGAACCACCAAGGCCAACCATTTCTCTCGAGAAGTGGCCTACAGCGCCCTATTGGGGGCTGCCCGTACAAGGAGGCCTGCTGAGGCCTACTACCTGATGGCGCAGCCTTCGTTGGCAGATAAGCTGTTTACACAGCGCCTACAGCATCCTGGTGCCTAATCACCTTTGCCCATGGCAGTGTACTCAGCAAGAGAGCTTAGCACCCTAAAAAACAAGGGAAGTACAACATACGCCACTCTGCCTCAACGGAGGCCCCAGTTAGTCAGGGGCCTACCATCTATGCATGGGCGTCAGCTCAGGGCAATGCTCTGGCTACAGGGGAGCGTACTTCGACCAAAGAAGAAGTGAAGGCTTAGACCCGAGCCATAGTGGTGCGAGGTAGGATAAACAGAACTGGGAGTGAAGTACTCAGACCTACCCTGAATCACAGGGGAATACTCACACCTCACCCTGAGGTTACCAGGGGGCGGGCCTGCCAGCGGCTCTAAGGGCGACAGAAATGTATCTGTGCCCAACCTAGGGGAGTGGGGCTTGAATGAAAGCCACCCACCTACAACCCGGCGCTCGAGCAGTAGCTCAGCGAAGTCAGTGAAGCCTATACTGCCGGCCTAAATCCGTAGGCCAGTTCTGCACGGCAGGGTCGGGCAGGACACTCAGTCTTCTTCGTGAAGCGAAAGACGGCCTAACCCTGCTCAAAAGGACTTATATACCACGGAGGCCTAACTGAGGCCTACTGTATCCTTATTAACCATCCTGTGCACCACGCTGCATTACTCTAGTCACCCCGGAATGCAGAGAAGGGGGCGGGCCTTGGCCTAACGACTCCCATGGGAGGAGGCTGATTATACAGGGATGCCAAAAACCTACATTCACAAAGTGAAGGGTCAGAGGAAGAAATGCTAATTTTAGCAGAACGCCTCTAATATCCCTGGCACAGCCTAAGCCAGCTACAGAGGTGGCCCTGGTGAGGGCCAACCTGTAAGCATAGATCTATCTGAGGGCTCAGAGGAGCCACAGCCTAATAAGGAATAAAATCTGTATTATTCGATACAAAAGGCTGCAGAATCGCTCAGCCTAATGAAACCCAAACAGAGCTCAAAGGGCGAAAATACTCAGGAAAGTCAAACGGTCCCGTGGGCCGGACTTAAGATCTATCTGAAGCTCTAGCATTAGTCAACACTCTAAATACATTTTTTTAAGAGAGAGACCAACTACTCTACCCTGAGGTGGCTAACAGCCCGAAGTCTAACATAGTTATCGTTCTGGCCACCTACCGGGGAACTTCAGGGCCCTGATAATCCAATAAAGTTCTCTTACCTTATTACCTTGACATGGCCCCATAACTCTATACAGGGAACGAGGTCTGTAAAGAGAAATATGTTATTTTTTAATCACAAAAAATACTCTTTGAGAAGACCAGCAGCTCACCTGCGGCGTGCAAGGCGAAGATTCACCAGACAGTTCTTTATGAACCTGGGAACCGCCACTTTACATGCCTGAAAGGAGCGTTTCCACCAACCAGGCCCAGGTGGGCCATAGGCCCATCCCCAGGCCTGATGTAATGAACGCCTGGGGGTCAGAAGAGAGAGGGCAGATTTCGTGACCCTCCGGGGAGGTTATCCACTACCGACGCTGTGAGCGTTTGTTCTGGATAAGCTCCCTCAAATCTCTTCTGTAGCGGGAGTCACGCCTCCTCTGCGACCTGCTCCTCGAGGGAGGGGGCGCACGAGAGGCGACACTGGCTCGCTGGCCCTGCCTACGGTCCTCAGACCGTGAAGGGCCAGGCTCTCCCGCCTGCCTGGGTGCGGACGCGGACCTCAGCAGTATACATGTCCTAAATGCTGCTGAGCGCGCCTTCGCCTCCCTGAACTTCCCCACCACCTCTTCTACAGAGGTGCCAAAGAGTTCGGAAGGCGAAACTGGCGAATCGAGGAGAAAGGTCTTTTCTTTCTCCCCGATGTCAGCTAGGTTTAACCACAGATACCTCTCCGTGGCCACCATCACCGCCATCGACCGACCGATCGCGGCAGCGGTTTGCTTGGTAGCCCGGAGAGCCAGATCTGTGGTGCGGCGCAGCTCAGCCACCGCCTCAGGGGACATCCCTGCCCCCTGGTCGAGATCCCCCAGCAGATCGGCCTGGTGTACCTGCAACACCACCATTATGTGCAGGTTAGCACCGGCCTGACTCGCTGACGTGTATGCTCTGCCATTCAACTGGCAGGGTTTGAGCTCTCAGTGTCGATTGTTTTCCCATCGACGCATACCCACGCTCTCCTATCCTCTCAACATCAGCGAGACTAGCCTGCTGATGTTGGTGGATACAGGCAGAGTATGGGTTCTTCCATGTCCTCTCGATCTCAGTATGAGATCGGGAAGAAATGAAAGGCTCACCTGAGCTGGTGGTTCTATGACCGGGGAAAAACCGCTCTCATCGCGAGCGATTTCTCCCCCAACGAGCAGCCACGGCAGCTGCAGCCTGTCCGCGGCGCGTTCTATAATACCAACCAGCTCAGCATACACGGGGCAGGGTGGCTGAGAAGATACAGGAAAATATCTTATTATTACCACCCTCATCAGCCATCTCCTGTTTGTCCAGGAGAGCGCTTGCTGCCGGACTAAGTTTTCCCTTTTTTTTTTTTTTTTTTGGAAAACTTCATCCAATTGCAGCTTCTCGTCAGCCGCCGCATCGTCTGAGAGGATTACACCCCTCTCAAGGCGATCGGCGAGCTTCATCTGTGACATCCAGACGCTGAACCCTCTTCTCTCGAGAAGAGGGACAGGCGCGATCACAATTTGTACAGGCAGTTCCCTCGAGAACTGCCTGTGCGCGTCTTCCTTCCCAGACAGAAAAATGCACAGTTCGCGTGTGTCACCTGGCTTCAGATATCTTGAGCACGGGTCTGCACACTTCTGAAAGCATTTCATAATTACCTGATTTTCAAAGCAGTTACAGACAAAACAGTCCCTGAAGACGAAAAGATGATTTGTCATGTTTGCAAGGCGCCCTTATATACTTCCAGGTCACACGTTAATCATTCACGCTAATGATTCACGGGCTGTCGCCGGTCAATGTGATTGACGTGATTTGATAGTGATTTCAGACACCTGTCACGCCTGAGGCGTTCCCCATAACGTCGATGACGTATTGTTGAGTTCCCTTCGAAAGGGAACCTTATTATCTTCTATTTTTAGTCTTAATTCCTCTAATCTCTACCAGTGGAGGAAGAACTCAGATCTTTTTACTAAAGTAAAATGAATAATATCATAATGAAAACGTTTTTAATTACATATGTACAGTACTTTTATACTATTTTAAATAATTAGTAAGCAAAATGTACTAAATGTGAAACTAGGCTACTCTTAATGCAAAATGGCCCTATATAAAGTGTTATAATTATATAAATTATTGGAATATTGCTTGATGTTGTAACGTAGCGTTATAGGCAGAATGAGCTTTAACACTGTGTCTACACCGGACGCGGCCGTTATTGATCGCGTCGCAACAGCTGTTTACCCTAGACAAAGCAGAATCAGTTTACTGTCGGAGATTTGCTCGCGCCACGCATTTTAATCAATGTTTCATCAACCAATTGCCTGGATTTAATAAATAAGAAGTAAATATAGCAGACAATATAATCAGGACTTCTCAGCTGCGCGCTTGCAATAGTCACAAGCTCACACAATACGTGACAGAGGCTGGTAGCAGAGAAATCAATTCTGTGAATTACGCTGCGCAAATCACAAGTAGGCTACTACCCACCGGATGAAGAAGGGTTGGCTCTCAGTCTCCACAGGCTACATAAAATATTCATTTTATTTTATTTTATTTTTCGTGTTCGCATTTATGAGGAAAAAACAATGTTACAGACGCGACAGTTCAGCACTACGGACGTGAGCGCTCTGAAAGCGGCACTAAAATATGCTTTGAAACTTTCACATAGACATCAAACAGAAAGCACAAAACCTTTCGTTTCAAAGTGAATTTCGTTTTGTATTAATTGTATCTTAATTTTAATCAATGTTTCATCGACCAATTGCCTGGATTTAAGAAGTAAATATAGCAGACGATAGATAATCTCGACACGGAGGCGCCTGCGGGTGAACTGGAGCTCGTCTCATGAACCGAAACTCAGCGTATAGACCTGAGAATTGAAATATATCTATATTGAAATGTCTACTTTTAAACAGAACAATTCAAAACGAAAGACAGACAGACTTATGTAATCGAATGAAATATGCATTTCTCTCTTTCGCGCGTTCACTGAAGATCGCGAGTCAGCATCGTCAACTTCATCTTTGGCTGACACTGACTGAAAACACTTGTTTATTAATAAACAATTAAAATGTCTCCTTGCTATATTTGTTGTATTCATAATCATTACTTTTGCCAGTTCTTTGTGACAGCTTTTAGGTGCTTTATTGGCAGCGCCACCCTTACATGAATCACCGCACCCGCATTTTTAAAAATATTCATTTATCGGCCATTATAAATGCCGATACCGATAGTTTGGAAAATGCCTAATATCGGCCGATAATATCGGCCCGCCGATATATCGGTCGGGCTCTAATTACAACTTGTATCTGCACAAAAGGACGCAAATGCATGTGAACTTGGACTAAGTTACGTGCTAGCCAGAAAGTGTTAATCCCATTGTCGATGCGCTCTTCCTGTAACAACGCGCTGAAACACGGGCAATGAAGCACATAGAATTCTATATTGTTCTCATTATAATGTTATGTATATGACAGATTGGCGCTGTTTAATAGTGTATTTTTTATGGTATAGAAATGGTCTCATGTTGATTATAAACGTATTGCACATAATTATAGATGTTTTTTTCCTTTAGGTACTTGGTGTTGAACTAGCGAGAGCAATTCACCTTCAGTGGCTTAAAGGAGTCATCCAGCCTCATCTGCTTCAGATGTGAGTAGAAAACACAAACTTCCTCAAAGGTTGCTGTCTGCTGTCATGAGAATTGTGAGTTCGCAGTATGACAGGAAGAGTGGTGCTGATTTTTTAAACTCTGGCTGTCCAGGTCAGAGGTTGGGATCCTGGTACACACCGCTCTGCTGTCCTGTTCTGTACATCACATACGTTCCCCTGCACTCCTGGAGGAATTGGTTCAGTTTCTGTTGGGCAATGACACACATTGTGAAAAGCAGCAGGACACACATACACACATTCTACGTTACCGCCTTATTGAACACTGCAACCACATCTCAGACGAGGTAACTAGATTAAAGGATTCATACATTTTCACTCTTGAGAGCATCACTTTGTTACAACACGTCTTTTTCCCTGTTAGATCAGTATTACAACATTGCGTCTCTTCGAGGAGCTTTTACAGAAGCCCAGCAGGAGCATCTTGACCAATCTGGTGCTGCGTAATCTTGAGAAGCGCAGCTACAGGCTGTCCGGATCAGGGGCCGCGGACGAGAGACATGCAGTCGAGAGTGATGTTCTGGAAGAGTCCGAGTGAGCAGAGACTGAACACAGATTCTCTTACTTCTCATAGTGGCTCATCATTCATTACTCACTCTCTTTCTCTATCAGGGAGCTGGAAGAGGATCCATTTTTCACAGACATGTATGAAGACAGTGGGTTCAGTGGCCAGGAGCCTCTTCTGTCTCTACCCAGTGCTAGAGAAAGACGTAAACCCAGTGCGCACACACAAGTTGCTGACCTCGTCAACAGGTATCATTAGAAGACAATGAAGTTTTTGCTTTGTAATATAAAAACAGAGCATGTGAGTGGAGCGGTAATGTTTCCTCCTTTCTGAAGATTCTGCTCCGCTCGCTCAACTCAGAATGCCCTTTGTGATATGCTGTTTTGAGAATCTGTGAAATAAGCAATGGATCTAATGTTATGGAGTTCAAATATTGTTTTAAAGGGGATAGTTCACCCAAAAATGAAAATTTTGTCATCATTTACCCTCAAGTTGTTCGAAACCTGTAATCATGTCTTTGTTCTGCTGAACACAGAGGAAGATATTTTGAAGGAAACAGTTGTGGGGCACCATTGACTTCCATAGTATGGAAAAAAAAATACTACGGAAGTCAATGGGGCCATCAACTGTTTGGTTGCAAACATTCTTCAAAATATCTTCCTTCGAGTTCAGCAGATCAAAGAAATGTATATAGGTTTGCTGCTGAGAGCGCCGTTTAGATGAATATGTAAATATGTGCTGCGCACTTCCCTCTCAATAACAAAATAAACATACAAGAAAAATAAACAGCAGTAAAGAAAGCATCTGATCATAGCCATGTGGATATGTTTGCAATTTGGCACTATCAAGTCATGTCACGTTTAATTATACCACTTTATAATATTGCTTTAAAGCCACAAATAGGCGTATTATAACTGTTGCCTACTGTAAGTGAGAGGCATTAAAGAAATTCATTACAAAGAGAAAGACATGTAGTACAGAGAAAATTCATGTCGCAGCGGGATTTGAGCAAACGTCGTTTCACCAGTGAGCAATCGCTTGGGCCGTGAGCGGATCGCACTGGCATAGAGCGGAATTATGAACCGCTCTGTTTCGCTCACGTGCTCTGTATAAAAACTGAATTTTTGAAGGACAAAAGCTATAGAAGCATCATAACCATACTGCCCTACAGTACTGTGAAAAAAAGAGTTTGTCCCCAGTCTGATTTTCTGTATTGTAACATATTTTTACAAAGTTAAGCAGATCTTCAAACAAAACCTATGAAGGCTCAAAAAAACGCATTTTATTCATATTTTTAGTTCAATTGTAAATAACAATCATAAATGCATTAGTAAAATGACAATATAAAATCACTTGGAAACATGATTTCATTATATCATGCTTAATATTTTTCTCACACAGCTAGATCTGTATACATCAAAATATCGAGCTGTCTATTTAGGAAGGGCGAAGGGGATCATCATTTTGGGTTACTTGAGATCAAATAGTTTGAAAACCCTTTAGTGTGTAGTATATATACACACAAGCACACTACTGTTCAAAAGTTTGGGGTCAGTAAGATTTTCTTTTTATAAAGATTTTATTAGGCAATGACACGTTTATAATGTTACAAAAGATTTTAAAATATTTCAAATAAATTCTGTTCTTCCTATTAAAATATAAAATATACTTAAAATATATATTAAATCCACCTAAAATATATTAAAATAGAAAATGGTAATTTTAAATTAATAATATTTTACTGTATTACTGTATTATTTGTATATTTACTGTATTTTTGATGTAAAAACAAAGTATTAAAAGATTTTAATAAAATTAAAAAAAGATTGTTTTTTAGACAGTGCCAATAATCTCAGAGTGGTCAAATATCATACAGTTAAATGGACTGGTTGATATATTGGATGTCTAACATGTGATTGATTGTTTGAATTTCTAACTTGTTTTTAATTTTCTTAGCTTCTTGTGTTTAGTGCCCCAAGAGGCAAAAACATCCCATCTTGTTCAGGGAGCAGGATATGACACATACGTTCATGATGCGCACAAACTGGTGAGTTGGCACACTGAAAACAAAATAAAAGTTCAACCAAATTGTTTGTGTTACAAGTTACTCAGTCAAGTTGAATGTAGCGTTACTATCAACTGTGTTTTTTGCTTTTTTAAGTTTGGTTTTCAAATATTCTTACACTAAAACTGCCCTTCTCTCTTTCTCTCTCTCTCTCTCTCTCTCTCTCTCTCTCTCTCTCTCTCTCTCTCTCTCTCTCTCTCTCTCTCTCTCTCTCTCTCTCTCTCTCTAGTTAAACGAATGTACTGCTCTTTCACGTGACTGGAACTGGCCAGATTCTGCAAAACCCACTGAAAACAACCCAGCTACAGAATTCTATGAAGGGCATTTCCTACAAACCCTCTTCGACAGGATTGCACGCATACTAGAGCAGGTAGAGTATTCTCAGCAAGATCCCTCACTCTCAACTTGAATATTCACTGTGTTCCACATTATTATGCAAGTGACATATCAGTAGGATTTCAGTACAATAAACATTCAGATTTTAGTTTTTCAAAGAAAGTGTTTGTTTGTTTTATTTCTTTTTAGATAACTGGTATCAATCTCAGACAGGTTTGTTAAATAGTTTGCTACTTGGGTAAATGGAAACCTTCACATTATTAAGCAAGTCACAGATCTCATGCATTATGGGGAGGAAGAAAGATCTTTCTGAAGATGAAAAGCATGAAATGGTGCAATGTTATGCAAAAGGCATGAAAACAACTAATATTGTGTGAAAACTAAATGGAGATTATCATAAGATTTGTGAGTGATTTACAGCACAAGACAACTCGATCAGATGTAAGGAACTTAGCTATAGGAAATATTAATAATCAATAATAACTTTGATTTATGAGTTATGATTAATTATGAATATTTGGGTCAGTTAATTGGATTAACTTGACATGGCTAAATTAATATTACAATCAATTAATCAGTTCGTCCAACGAACTCTTTTGATTATTAATTTATTCTAAGAAAAGTGTCTTCCATGGCCACAGAAGAATAATTATTTCTTTAGCTTTGGTTAGAGATGTTTGAAATGCAACTTTACGCATAACTGCCAGCCTGCATGGAGAGGTTTTTGAGACTCCAGAGACACCAGCAGCTTCAAATATCTGTTTGCTGCTCAACAGTTTTTTTTTTTATAGCTGTCCTTTTAATACATTAAAAAATGTTTTGATAGAAACTCTCCTTAATAAGCCTTTATCTGATCGAGTTCTCTTGTGCTGTAAATTACTCACAAATCTTATGATAGTTTGATAATCTCCATTTAGTTTTCACACACTATTAGTTGGTTTCATGCCTTTTGCATAATATTGCACCATTTCATGCTTTTCATCTTCAGAAAGATCTTTCGTCCTCCCCATAATGCATGAGAACTGTGACTTGCTTAATAATGTGAAACAACCTCTTCAAAGTCCCCTTGAACCGGAAGTTGCAAACGACTTTTCTCCAGTGTTGTGACGTATTTCCGAGAGAAACGGAATACTAAATGAGGCAAAATAGTGGGCGTGGCTTTTTTCCCCAACTAGCACCTGATTGGATCTAGAAAAGTAGGTGTTGTCATTCAGCCTGTCTACTGTCAGTTGAAGGGGCGTGGTTACGGATGTTAAGTAGACACCCAAACCGTCAAACCTACGTCATCAGGGAAGGTCCTCCAATGCAGAGGGGAGGGGAAATTTCAGATTTTGATTAAAGATTACGAAGCCAAAAAATTTTTTTGTGTGGATTGACTTGCATGGATGAACTGTTCACCACAAAACGATCAATTTAGGCAAACAAAGTAAGTATGGTCAATTTTGAATTCATGGGGACTTTAAGTAGGGTTTCCATTTACCCAAGTAGACCTGGCAAACTATTTAAAGTTCCTCTGTAGTCAATAATTTTATCCCTTAAAACTCATCTTTGATCACCAAAATGAAATATTTAAACGTTTCTTTCCTTGAATAGTTTTTTTGTCATGCCTTAAAATAGCTTGAATGTAACTACACCCTTGCCTCATTTAGTATACGCGGTTCTATGAATATGCAAATTACCCCCACCTCCACTCACTCACGCCAGGTCAGAGATATTAGTTGATTAGTTGATGATCACACGTTGACGTGATTGGTTACATGGTTTGTGACGTCAGAAACACCAGCGATTTCAAACCCTGTTTTTGAGATTGTCTTTGGTTCACTGCAGTTTTAAGGAGAAAATACTGTTGGTGTTGACTTTGTAAGACATGGTTTGTCTTAAAGCATATTAAAAACACCACATAGACAGACATATAAACAACATTAAAAGCTTGATTTTCACCACAGGGGGACTTTAACAAACCTGTCTGAGATTGATACCAGTTATCTAAAAAGATATGGAGAAATAAAACAAACTTTCTTTGAAAAACTAAAATCTGAATGTTTATTGTACTGAAATCGTACTGATATGTCACTTGCATAATAATCCACAGTGTACAGTTGATATAAAAAGTCTACACACCCCTCTTAAAACAGCTGTTTTTTTGTGATATAAACAAAGAAAAATCATAGCAGAACTTTTGCACGTTTAATGTAAAAATTATAACCATATGCAAGCCACTGAAAACCAAAGTGACACATTTCAGTGAAAAAAAACAAACAAACTTGGAATAACTAACTGCATAAATATGCACTCCCCTGAAACTAAAACTTAGTTGAAGCACCCTTTGATTTTATTACAGCTGTCAGTCTGTTTGAATAGGTGTCTATCAGCTTGACACATCTTTACATGGTAATATTTTCCCAATTTTCCCACTCTCTTTTTTGGATAAACGGTCTGTTAAATTTCTGAAAAACGATCTGTGCTTATGTTTTTGCGAAATTTAGCAGGGCTTGGATGGTTTTTTTTGGTCAGAAAAGGCTTGTGTCTTTGTCAGCCTGCCCCATTGCCCAGACTAGGGCTGTGCGGTCTGACGATATATATTGTCTCATTGATATAAAGTATCAATTGTTAGAGATTTTGCTGTATTGTTTATATTGTGATATATAAATACACCCTCGTAGTAGATAAAAAGCGGGGCGTGCATGATGTTAAAGAGTTAATAAGCGCAATAAGCTGTGAACAATAGAACTCAATGCGTAATCGTGCTGACTGACACAGACAGCTGGTGATCCTGAATTCAGTTCTCTTTCGAGGCTTATTGCGCTGAAATAATTAAATACACAAACAATTATGTCAAAATGCCCATTGTGTGGAGTATCCACATAAACACAGTCGTTTGTCTTAAGTGAATGTAAACAGTTGGCCGAAAACCATGTTTGTCAGTGTATTCGGCCCATGCATTCGATCTTCAAGTGACAGCAGCCTAATATACTGTACCTGTTGCTGTCTGCGTTATTAATGTTAATCAAATAACAAAAGACAAATAGAAAATCACTCGCTGATCTTGAATAACTTTTGTATCTTAAATAAGAATGAATAATAAGAATAACATTTTCTGTAATTCTTCATTTGATTCCCTCTGCCAGCCATATGAGCTAAACCTGCAGGTGACATCAGTTCTTTCCAGATTAGCTGTGTTTCCTCACCCTCATCTGCATGAGTACCTGCTGGACCCGTACATCAGCCTGAGCCCTGGAGCACGATCCCTCTTCTCCACTCTAGTCAGGGTGAGAACCATGTTAAAAGCTGACAGTATGTAATGTTGTTGTGAATGAAAGTTTGATGCCTGATGTATCAGCTACAGACTTTCAGAACAGCAGCCCTGTCTGCCTCATTTATCTGTAAAACATGAGCTTTGTGTTTTCCTGTAGGTGATAGGGGAGTTAATGCAGAGGATCCAACACATCCACAATGTGACAGACAGACTGATGATGATCAGGAGACAGCTGATGGGACTGGAGGAGGAGACTGTGTAAGATAGTCACTGCATCTGTTAAAAGGACAGTTCCATCAAAAATGTATGTTTCGTCATCATTGACTCACCATAATGCCCCACAAAACCTGAATGCTGATATGTTTAAGACTGGAATTCTCTGCAAGTCGCTACATAACTTTTCAAAATCTGAACAAATTTTAAACGCTATACTTACATACTTTGTAAATGGTTACAAAAAGAAAAAACTGGTCATTATACATTAAATGACTGAGGATCACACACTACCAGAAGTTATTGTGAACACAACTCACCCACACAGAAACATGCGCAAATGAAAAAGATATGCGTTTTAAAAATCAGCTCAAAATATTAAACATGTTTGATATCCTACGAATGGTTGGAATCAGTCTGAAGCTAAAAAAATTACTTTGTGCTTGTCATACAGTACAGGATTTTCTGTGATATCCGTCAACTCAAATCTGCAGACTGATTTCGGCAACTAGCATGGGCAACTTACAGACTCTATCGGGGTAGACATCTAGGCAAAAGTTGTGTAGTGTATTCCAGCCTTAAATGGAAAGACAAAAGGGGTCAGTGGTGACAATTTTTGGGTGAACTGCCCCTTTAAGAAGCATTCATAATGTGTAAATGTTAGGCTGACAAAATGTTTTTATTGTTTTGTTATTGTTGTTCTTTTTAATGATAAAATATCTTTATGTATCGGTCTGTTCTCTCTGTCAGGGTGGATCACATGACTCTGTTGAGAGGTGTGATAGTTCTGGAGGAGTTCTGCAAGGAACTGGCTGCCGTAGCGTTTGTCAAACTACCCATAGAAGAGCAATGAATCCATGATACTTAAACCAAAGACAATACAAAGGATCATGACCCAACAACATCTGTTGGATGGCTCCGTCATTCGGAGAAAATGGATTTGCACAGAACAAAGTTAAGGGGCGATATTTGTAGATTTGCAAGTCACTTTTAATGATTGTTTTCAGGGAGCAGTCAACCTGTCTGATGGCAGTTTAACTTTTGCCCAAGAAATAAAGAATAAAAAAATTCAGACATGTGCTACTGGATTTCACAAACACTGTCTGAGGTACAAAGCTGCTTATTCTCCACAGCTGCACGTCTTGCTGAACGATGATGACAATTCACTTTAAGTGGAAGCAATAGAAAAAAAAAACTTTGTCTCGCACAATATTTAAGTTTTACTATAAACACTGTATTATATAGTTTTAGGTCCAGACATTCACTCCTCTTTGAATTTGAGTGTTTCTGGTTGGATTTCTTGTCAGTCAGTCATCTCTCCTTACTCTCGTCATGTAATAAGTGAAATCTGACTTCTGCTGCAGTGTGCTGTGATTCTGCAGCTTTCCGTTTATAATTGTAGCATTCGTTGTCCAATTGAACTACATGGTTTTTATCTCTATAAAAAAGCAAGATGACAGTGGGGGCAGTGCCGCTGTGGACAAGTAATGTAATCGGTGTATGGTCAACCACTGTGTAACACTGGTAACACCGACTTCCACAGCAAGCCAGTTGTTTAATAGAGGTGTAGAGACCTGGTTTACGCTCAGTTCCCTCTGTCAATGTTTTTTCTTTCAAATATGCAATTCAAAACCTTATCTCAGATCAGAATTCTTACACTATGGATTTTTAGCTATTGCACATCCCCTCTAATTTTCTTTTCTCTTGAAATATTAACTAGACTTTAAGTGTATCATTATGGTGTGTAAAATAATTTTATTTATCTCTACTTCTCTTAAACGTGAATAATCAATGCTGTTTTATTTCTGAATGTTATATGGCTGAATCTAAGGGTGGGAGAGGTACAAAGATTTGTGTGTTTGTGATTTGTCATTGGCTGGTACTCTCAATAGATCTTTATCTTCTATCGAGGTCTTTTGTGACGACTGTACTCAATCCTGGCTTATTTATGTTGTCACAGCAATAAACTCCTTGAATATTCATGCAGATTTCATTGTATCAAATGTCTCTATGGTCTTAAATGAAACTAAATGTAGCTTGATATACATTTTTGCTGTAAAAGGCAGTTTGTAAATGGTAAAATAATAAATAGCTTTTGTCAAAGCGAATGTTCTCATATACTAGTATCAATGTGTTTACTAACACAAAACCATAAATATACAGAATGTAACCTGTTATTTAGTTCATAATGTGACATATTTTTCTTTGAACAGAGTTAAATAATAATAATAATTCATTACATTTACACTCACCTAAAGGATTATTAGAAACACCATACTAATACTGTGTTTGACCCCCTTTCGCCTTCAGAACTGCCTTAATTCTACGTGGCATTGATTCAACAAGGTGCTGAAAGCATTCTTTAGAAATGTTGGCCCATATTGATAGGATAGCATCTTGCAGTTGATGGAGATTTGTGGGTTGCACATCCAGGGCACGAAGCTCCCGTTCCACCACATCCCAAATGATGCTCTATTGGGTTGAGATCTGGTGACTGTGGGGGCCATTTTAGTACAGTGAACTCATTGTCATGTTCAAGAAACCAATTTGAAATGATTCGAGCTTTGTGACATGGTGCATTATCCTGCTGGAAGTAGCCATCAGAGGATGGGTACATGGTGGCCATAAAGGGATGGACATGGTCAGAAACTATGCTCAGGTAGGCCGTGGCATTTAAAAGATGCCCAATTGGCACTAAGGGGCCTAAAGTGTGCCAAGAAAACATCCCCCACACTATTACACCACCACCACCAGCCTGCACAGTGGTAACAAGGCATGATGGACCCATGTTCTCATTCTGTTTACGCCAAATTCTGACTCTACCATCTGAATGTCTCAACAGAAATCGAGACTCATCAGACCAGGCAACATTTTTCCAGTCTTCAACTGTCCAATTTTGGTGAGCTCTACAAATAGGGAAAAGAGGCTACAATTTGCAAGTGGAGATGAGTGGTACCCGGTGGCGTCTTCTGCTGTATAGCCCATCCGCCTCAAGGTTGTGCGTGTTGTGGCTTCACAAATGCTTTGCTGCATACCTCAGTTGTAACGAGTGGTTATTTCAGTCAAAGTTGTTCTTCTATCAGCTTGAATGAGTCGGCCCATTCTCCTCTGACCTCTAGCATCAACAAGGCATTTTCACCCACAGGACTGCCGCATACTGGATGTTTTTCCCTTTTCACACCATTCTTTGTAAACCCTAGAAATGGTTGTGCATGAAAATCCCAGTAACTGAGCAGATTGTGAAATACTCAGACCGGCCCGTCTGGCACCAACAACCATGCCACACTCAAAATTGCTTAAATCACCTTTCTTTCCTATTCTGACATTCAGTTTGGAGTTCAGGAGATTGTCTTGACCAGGACCACACCCCTAAATGCATTGAAGCAACTGCCATGTGATTGGTTGATTAGATAATTGCATTAATGAGAAATTGAACAGGTGTTCCTAATAATCCTTTAGGTGAGTGTATATAGCGCTTTTCTCGGCACTCAAAGCACTTTACATGGAAAGGAATATCCTCAACCACCACCACCAATGTGCAGCATAAACCTGGATGATGCAACGGCAGCCATAGTGCGCCAAAACTTCCACCACACACCAGCTTATTGGTGGAGAGGAGACAGAGTGATGAAGCTAATTAGTGTATATATATATATATATATATATATGGGGATGATTAGGAGGCCATGATGGACAGAGGCCACTGGGCAAATTTGGCCAGGATTCCGGGGTTACACCCCTACTCGTTTCAAAAGACATCCTGGGATTTTTTGTGACCACAGAGATTCAGGACCTCGGTTTAACGTCTCATCCGAAGGACGATGGTCTTTGACAGTATAGTGTCCCGATCACTACACTTGGGTGTTATGACCCACACATACCACAGGGTGAGCACTCACACCTCACTAACACCTCCTCCAGCGAGTAGTATGAAGCTGCAGACTCAGAGACCTGCATCTACAGTCCCCCTGCACCCAGAGTCCCGCATTCTCAGACCCCTCGTTTTTCGAGACAGCGCCTCCTATCAAATTGTATCGGATAAACATGTGAAGAACATGTGAAGAACTTAAGCCAAAACGTGAGTAGGCTATCTTCAATTTTATTTAGCGAATCGTAGTAGCCTACTCGTTTGATTTATTTTTTAATAAAATTAATTTAGCTCATCGATACAACATATGAATAGTCCATTTAATATTTGTAAAGATAGTTTGTAACAAGATTTGAGCCGTATGTTTTTTCGCCCTCTTCCCCCCGAAAATATTTTGATAGCTAACGTTAGCCTTTAACCTTGGACTTTTTGTAGATATGTCATAAATGCTGCAGTGATTTTCACTGCCCATTTTGTGCCCCGGCCCCCATATATTTCAAACCCACAAAGTTGTCCAAAGTTCAAAAACATCTCAAGGGACACTTCAACAGAGCAGTGCAACATGAAGGTAACATTTGCAAACATCTTTTTTCCTTTTTTTTTCTTTCTTTTTGAAACATCATAAGACATGTGCTATCGGGCCTATACTGTTGTAGGCTATTCCAGGGTACACCATACATCGATGGAGTTGCCCCTGCCGAACCCAGCAACATATCATTTTATGATTATGCAAAGCGACTTATAAATTAGTTTTTTTAATGGAATTGAAGACGAAAAGTAAAGTCACGAACACATTTTTTTCTTCCTTTTTTCTTTACAGCAAGATGATATTTAGGTGATCATTAAATAAAGTACAGAATTGTTTATTATTGGTGTTTTGTCTATTCTGATTTGTTTTGCTTCGCATTCAAAATATCAAAAAACAGATTTTGTAATGTTAGCATGGTAATGTTAATTAGACCATTATAGGTTGAACTGAAAGAAAAGTTGGAATTTGAATAAAAAAAATATAAAAAAACATTGTAGCAATATAATATCACATACTATTTTTCAGAAGATAGTTCAATCTGTAATTGTATCCCCCTTCCATCACAATGAGTTTTTTTTTGGCACATGCATTAAGCAGGGAACGCAAATATTTATTGGATCATTTATTTGGAGACCGTAATATTGCATCCTATTGTTTTTAATTGCATTTGGATAAGTGTGCGCTGTACTCTGTGTGCGGGTGTTATACGATCTTTCGAACAGCAGGAGGCGCTGTGTTCGAAAAACGAGGGGTCTGAGAATGCGGGACTCTCGGTGGGGGACAGTAGATGCAGGCTCCGAGTCTACAGCAGCAACCCAGGAGGTCTCCCATCCAGGTACTAAACAGGCTCAGCCCTGCTTAGCTTCAGTGGGCAACCAGTCTTGGGCTACAGGGTGATATGGCTGCTGTATAAAGGTACAGTTAGCGATTTCTGAGAAACACTGTTGATGTTTGAAATCGACACCCAAACAAACACACCCCTCCCTTCATTGCTCCGCCCCCAAAATAACGAACACATTATGCTACACAGGCAACCACTAACAGCTGGTGCATCAGACATCTCACGCAAGTATGGATGAATCAGCTATGATTCTACAACAACAACAGCATTTCTTAGTTCTGTGAAACAGCAAAAAAACAATGTTGCTCTAGTATCGAGCGAAACAAAGCAACCTCCGTGTCCATTTTCAGGCCTTCTTGCTCTCTAACGTCTCTCCAGCGCTAGAAAACATTTCTCGTATTTCCGCGTGTCCTAGCTCTTGCCTGATCGTAATGCTTCTTTTTCCAATTATATTCCTATGACTTTTTCCTCTTTCAGGGTTCCTGTGCAGTTAGGAAAAGTATGGAATTTGATTCGGGTCATTTTTAGTGTTTCCAGACTACTTCCCCTATTCAGTTTTTAGTCATGCACTGCTGTTTGAGCTGCATGCGCTGAAGCTGAACTTCTGAGTCAGTCAAATATACACTCACCGGCCACTTTATTAGGTACACCTGTCCAACTGCTCGTTAACACTTAATTTCTAAGCAGCCAATCACATGGCGGCAACTCAGTGCATTTAGGCATGTAGACATGGTCAAGACAATCTCCTGCAGTTCAAACCGAGCATCAGTATGGGGAAGAAAGGTGATTTGAGT